TTCATGGGCATTCAATCATCATGAGTGCAAGAATTGATAAAGCCTTCAGTCGACCTTGATGGCAAATATGTCGAACAACGATTCCACTCACTCGTTATCTGTATATCGCCTTGTTCTTCATCACCTTTCTACAATCACGATCATAATGGGACCACTTCGATTTAGTCAAGAACCTCTAAGCTCCATAATCTGTAAGATGCAAAGCTTACGGACCAAGCCTGTCTTGTGAATTTTTCGCAAATTGCCTTTTACAATACGGAGATGAACTTAACTTTACTCATGGTTTACAACCACTAAAGAGTGCTTATTTTTACATTCTTAGCTCATTTTCATGAATGTAAAATTAAGTTACCTCGGAAGCAATTTTGTTTGTGCCGCAGTTTCACTCCACTTTAGATGCATGATTAGCTCCAACGGAACAAGAATAACCTCGGAAACTTCTGAAAATGATAGCTTCAGAATTCGAAGGGGAAAGGCCCTATAGCACCAAAAAAAGGCAACATGGAGCAATTCAAATGGAATATTTCAGTTCCTGATCGTCTCTTCTTCAAATGTCTTTCAGTCTTGGTGAGAACACGTTGAAGATCTCAGCAGAGCTGTTCGCTGAAAATCGAGCTCGCCTTGTTGCAGTATTAAAGGTTTCTCCTTTTCTAATAAATTTCCTTTACGAATTCGTGGCAAACTGTTTTCCAATTACATGCAAACATATCGACAGATTCCATGCTTGCGAACTCATAATTGGGTGACGTTTTAAAAAGCAAGAGAGCTTACTTATTTAGAAGGTTGAGCCGGGAACAGTCGTGGTATTACGAGGAGGAAGCGAAATCAATCGCTACAATACTGACGAAACAGATGAGCCGTTTAGACAGGTACTCGTCTCCGATCAAATAATGAGTTCGACCCAATGAAAAAATTTGGCAAAATTTGACAAATAGTACAAGTCATGGCATGCATTCGGAACTACGATACCGAATGGAAGTCACATACCTGGCCTCTCCCTAAACATAGGGTCCTCTGATTGAATACAGCCATTTTTCACATACAGCTTCACTTGTTCAGGAGTCATTCTTTTTCTGGGCCTTCGGTGTCCATGAAAGTGATTTCTATGGAGCGATCGATGTGGACTCAGGGAAATCGTGCCTCTTCCCACCAACGCTCGACCCCAGCTATGCCATTTGGGATGGCAAGCATGTTTTATATTGTTTCTACAGTGAAAGGCAGTTCAGAAAAACAATGCGTAAAGTTTTATTATTTTTAGGATCAATGATGAAACGTTTTTCAAGAAAAAGTATGAGGTCGACGAAGTTCATTTCCAGACTAAAAATGTCATAAGTGACTACATCAAAAGAATGAAAGCGAGGAAAATTTTACTTCTGGTGAATAGCCCTTGCTAGCAACTTATACTCTAAATCCTCTGAAAGTAATTTTTAGAGAGCGGAAAACTCTGACAGCGGCAACGTTATGGAGCCACCAACATTTCCAGGCAGGGACTCGTACGTTTTTATTTGTCCAGGGAAACTTAGAAACATTGAAAGACTCCAGTTATCAATGTATTTTTTAGGTTTGAGGTCGATATCAAGACGCTGTACCCAATTATGGCCGAGTTACGTCTTCTAAAAACGGATAAAGAACTGGAAGTAAGGAGCCATTTAAGCAGTTTACCTTTCTCAGTATATCACAGGACTTTCCAGGTGATGAGATATGCCACTAAAATCGCCTGCGTAGGTCACCGTGCGGTAATGAAAGCGGTACGTGTAGGAATGTACGAATTCCAGTTAGAGAGGTACGTGCTATTACGTGCTAGAGGTAGCTCTTTTAAATCATTAGATTGTCACCTCACCATTAGATTATGGACTGCCTGAAACAAACTTGTCAACCATGCTTGCAATTAATTTTGCAGGGAAAAGATATATAATAACAGTAGTTGTCATTGAAGAAATCTAGCAGATGTACAGAAAGGGAATTATGCTAGACATAAAAGTAAAACAGGCTAACTCACTTTTGGGTACCTACGCAGGATGTATAGCATCGACTTTTGAGAGGCTGTTCAAATTGTGGTCACCGTTGAATTTGTGATCGACAGATAGATATCTGTTGCAGCATTTTCCGTCACATCGTCTATTACCACGGAGGATGTCGCCATCTCTCCTACATATGCATTGCACCATCGTTAGTTGAATTTCACTATAACGATAAACTGAAGGGTAACGGAGTCGGTCTCCTACAACAAAAACTCTGCATAGCCCAGGGTGAGCCGGAGCAATCTGCCCTTTCAGTGGTGGCAACGGATCCATCCTTCATTACGGACATGCTAATGCTCCTAATGACAAGCAGATCGAGGATGGTGATATTTGTCTGATAGATATGGGACCGGAGTACAACTGCTACGGTAGGTTACAACGCAAGTGCCATTTTTATTACCCTCATTACGGCTCTGTCAAAAGAAAGAAGTATCTTTATAGCGGCTGATATTACTACCACATTCCCTGCAAATGGGAAATTCACCGAAAGACAGAAAATAATCTATAACGCCGTGCTTGAAGCAAATAGAGCGGTATTTAGGACAGCCAAACCGGGTAGCTTTCTTCTTATCCCATTCATGGTTATTGATAATTATTAAGCGATGTTTAAGGCATTCGATGGTCGGACATGCATCTTTTGGCGGAGAGAACAATACTTACCCATCTCAAGGAGGCCGGGTTACTTACAGGTTTCATAGAAGCATCACTCACATATAACATACTTCTTGAGAGTTTCTAATGGTAACTACAACTTAAGGTGACGTTGATGAAATGCTAAAAGCAAGAATTGGAGCCATATTCATGCCTCACGGCCTTGGTCACTTGATTGGCTTGGATGAACACGATTGCGGTGGATTTTTCGGGGTACCTTATACTTCACTTGAACAGTTTTCCTGTAAATTCGAATCGTTAATTATTTCTTGATAGGATGCATTGCCCCGCTCAAAGCTACCTGGGCTAAAATCTCTACGCACCACTAGGACACTGAAGGAAAGAATGGTAAGTGACAGAAAAGAAGGGGCAAACAAGACTCAGGTGTTCCAGAGAAAGATCAGAAATATTCTAAACGGTGTTCTAGGTGATTACACTCGAACCCGGTTGCTATTTCATTGACACCTTGCTCGACAGCGCATTTAATGATCCAAAGCTAGCCAAGTACTTAGTGAAATCAGAAATCGAAAAGTACCGTGGACAAGGAGGGGTATGCATTTTAGGTCTCTTGAATCCACTTAAGTAGTTAATACAGACCATCATTAGAACTTTTTTCAGGTTCGAATTGAAGACGACATCGTCATTTGGGAAAAAGGCAACGAAAATATGAGTAATGACTTACCAAGAACTGTTGAGGAGATCGAGAATTTCATGGCATCCGGTGTGTATGACGACACGGTAATTCGGGAAAGGATTCGCGATTACCTTAACAGACATTAATCTCAGTTGATCATTGTAATGCTACACTTCTATATCACTTAATATCAAATAAAATTTATATACTTGTACATTACCTTGCCCTCACTTTTGCGAAAGTCGGACCCGAAGGCTGCGGCACAACACTGTGCGTGAGAGCACCTAACGAAAGAACAGCCTCAAATTAGTAAGTGTATTTCACCTTACTACGTAAAACCATATATTAAACCTCCCGAGACGCTCTGAAGATGGGCAACGACACCAGGTTCGGTTTTGAAGGATCGTTGAAACCCTCCCAAGGTTTGAGAGTTGACAAGAATTTTACCCTATTGAGGTTCTGATAATTACTAAGCTCCATAAAGTTTGCCATTCGGAGCATGAACCCTGCGATTATTTATCAACATTACATATTGCTGTGTTTTCTGCTTCCATCTTAGTGTTCATAATTGTCATGACAGCATAACACCAGAGGACCATCAAAAGTTCTGATACAACAATCACACCAAGTATCAGAACCCGATTGCCTACTACCCTCATCATGGAATTTCTTTCAGGACAAACCTTTGGGTAATCCTCTTTCGCTGTCTCTCATAGTCCTGACGACCCAACATAAAGCTTCTATGCATAACTTCCTCAGGTGCTTGATGATCCAAAGCCACCACTCACAGGGTTATTATACCGTTCGACATAAATTAGTGTCGTAGTAAATTTCACATACGAAATATGCGCACGTTGATAGGGTGTGAAACTAAATCGGTTAGCACCAACGGTGTAATGCCACAGCACAAGACAAAAACTGTTCATTCATAAATACCGACACAATAATCTTGTTTTCAACCAACGAAATATAGCGGTACAAAGTGAAACAAAAATGATGGAGTTGCGCCATTCTGTACATTCCGTTACTACTTGAATGAGGGAGAAGGTAATGGACAATCAAAGAAAAATGCGAGATGCAGAGAAGTACCGGTGTTGTAAGCAGGGAATTAATTCAACATGAACCACCAAGTTGCTCCTGATATACCTGCAAGAAGACGTATTGACTCATTCCCATAAAACTCTTCTAAGCTATAAATTACCTCAATAACGTCGTCCTCTTCCATTTCCAAAGTTTTCGGAGTGTCGTCGTCGTTGATACGGCGTCCGTCAAACAGGAAACTAAATTCATTAGTATTACAAATTATCTCTGCACTGTGCCTCATTGAGAGAATCGGCAGTGAACTCTTTATCCCATCTATAACGACGTTGGAGATACACTAGATGACCTCCTCCAGCAAAATTCCCTAGAAGAACCCGAAACATAATTCTGAACTCTGCAATGGCATAGCAATTTATTTCTTGAGTAACCGGTTTAAGCCGAAACTACGAACAACAGCTCATTTCAAACGAATCTTGGAATTTCGAGTCAGTGCCTGCGATGAACCCAGTAAACTTTTTGAAATCCACAGAGTTCGATAAATTACGGAACTATGCCTCATCACGTGACTGTGCCCGTTCATTCGGAACGGGGCAAGTTTCAAATTGTTTTGAAGTAATGCCCATGCAAGTTTAGGTAAAGCTATGGTTGAAATGTCAAAGCAGTTACCGCAGTGAAGAGACAGCAACTCCGGTGCGATCAGCATAAGATTTTTTCAGCTTGCCCATAGCAGTTCCATTTTTAACACGGAAGTGTACCTCATTCGAATCCTAGAAGAAAATCATGAAAGTTTACGAAAAGCAATTAAAATCCGATGCTCACAGAGTACCAGGATAAGAATTAGAAAAAAAAGAACTTTTTCTAACCTGTCCAACAACTTTGAGTTTGATGTATTCTACTCCAGCATCTCCTGCTGCCGGTTGCTCGCTACCGTTGTCTGCCATTGTTCTATTTTCCTCTGTAAAAATACGAAAACCTCTGAGCAGTTCGTGCCAGAAGACAACGCTTGAATCAGGAACAGAAAACACCACATGGTAAACAAGTAAAATAGCAATCAGTAATGCTAAAAAGTGGGGGACGAGAAACCGCAAACAAAGCTCGAATCCGCGAACATTCCAAAACAAAGAAACACAGCCACCACAGAAGAGCGCTCGACCGCCACTATCGATCGAAGTGCGAATGCTCAGTTTCGCGCCCTGGGTGGCGTCGGTGTCTGCCGACTCCGTGGAGGCCCGCCAAGTAAACTGACCCCGACATCAATGGGTCACTACGAAACTACGTAGTGTTGTGATTTTGGGCCATTGACGATCAATAATGGGCGTGGCCTACCACGTGATGTTGGCGTGGCATGTGGGACTATTTACGAAGTCGTGCTCGATCGATAATGGGCGTGGTGAGTTTCGCAATCGCTCACGCGATTGGCCCATTTTTATCGCCCGGTGACGTCGCGCGTCTAATCGCGTCGCACAATCCAGCGTGCGGATCGATCGGTGTTGCGAAATATGTCTGCTGACCTTCGCGCAAGTAGAGCCTTCAAGTCCGAAGGGCTCACAAAGCCGGCGAGACAACTATCTAGTGCGATTGGGGCACGGCGTGCGGCAAGCCAATTTGTTAGCCGAGGTCGCACAAGCGAACTGGGCATGGTGCTACACATCCCTCATATAATTCAAACACCTGTGGGATTAGAGGACAAATATTATTTGTATAGTTGAATTGGGTATCTTTACTAGTTCTTCTTCTTTCTGTCCAAGGGTGAATCCTTTGGGAGGCGTCCGGACAACTCTTTTTCTCCGGAGTCTCTAAGGTAGTACGAGGTGCATTGATTGGAGGCACATGGGTACTTGGCAGAGTGTAAGTCATTGTGTAGGACGAGTACCATCCGAGGCTTAGCAATTTCGGACCGGGGTTTGGTACCTTCTCCTCGAGCGGCGTTCGCGCTCGCCGGACTCGATCGCGAGCTTTAAATGGAATGATTAGAATTCCCAGTGGAAGGAGATGGCAGTCGCCGCGGAACGACTACCGCTGGCCGTGGGAATTTTGGTAGAAGTTCCGTCACCCTTCGGGCAGCAGCCGGATCATGGTCCGCGTTGACCGATCCAAATGTTTGGCCTCTTGTCATTTTGCTTACTGCTGGCCTGGTCAGAAGATGGAATTTTCTGAAACCCCTGGATATCCTGGGAGACTCTGGGGCCAACTGTAGACATTACAGATCTCTGTTGAGAACTGCCAACAGGCACACAGATGATATGGGGAATCCTTTCCAACCGAATCGGGTAGCTTGAATTACGCCACGAAGTCGTCATGTCTGGTGTTCAGTTCGGTTCTGACAAGCTAAGCTTGTTAAAACTCGATGAACGAATGATTTCTTGTACTTCCCTTCCCTTTGACAGGTAATACCTCGAAGTAATTGCGAGATGAAGCAATTAGTAGTGACGTTAAGTCTGTACCCATCGAAATTACTCTCCATTTCTAAAAAGGAATCGAAGCGCATGACGTTCTCTCAACATGATTGACCTACAGTGAATTAGATCGACTGGGATATAATGGAATTATTCTTAGGCTATTTTCTTCACTTCGGTTGAGTATGATACATGCAAAGTGTTTCCAACTCGTTACTTTGTAAACTGTAATCTCTTAATGTAACTATAATCCCTCAGGGTAAATTAGGCTGAAGATGGTATTAGTCCACGCTATTTTTGTTCCCACCACAGACAAGGTCTGAGCTCGGGACCCGAGCAGTACGTTTTACCAACTCTCCTTTAGCTCCTACCCCTCCAAACCACGTAGTCGCTACCAGTCATCTCTAAGCGGAAGCCGAATGCTTGGCGTGTTTAGGAGAGAGGCCAATCACGTCGAGGATTTTGTTCTTGCTATTCATTCTTGTCAGTTCTCCACGTTTGTGGGCGAGAAAACTTTGAGCAACTGACCTTGAGATGCGTTGATTGGTGGTGGCGAGCAGTGAATTCTCGACGGCGAACCCCACAGGTTTCGATCGGGAGAAGTCGAGCCTGTGAAGGGAACTTTATTACGGTAAGAGGTTAAAGTGGCCCCCAAAGTTATCTCATCAAGTTAGAAAAGTTAACATGAAGCTACGGGCAGAAGATGCCTGTCTATGGAAATGGGTTTGTTCCTATACGTAGGCAGTCATGCCTCATAAAGAAAGTGAGCAATTTCTGGGAATGACAAATTGCCAACTGCTGAGAACTCTCCGAGCGATTAGGAAATTCTGATGTGGCTTAGCGAGAGTAGTGGCCTACGTCTAGTTGTAAGTTGAAAAGTATACAGCATAACCGTAATCACCTTGGGCAAACAGCCCATTTTTCATCCAGCAGCTGATCGACTGCGGGCAACAGGGACCATCTGAAATTTTACAGATTTACATTAAAAATACGAATGTAGACGAACTACAGTAATACAAAGTTAAGACCAAAAAACCTACCACTTTCAGAGCTCTGAGAGCAGGAACAGCTCGCAGCCGACGCCATGAAGCCAAATGACGCCTTGGAGCTCCGACAAGAGTCCTGCACGTTGACATGTGAAAACATGATGTCCTACATGTAACTACTTGTTAAGAGGGCAGAGGTGGTGTGTTCGCAAGTGTCGCACTGCCCCGCAAGCATGTTTCGGGGATGGAGTCTCGGATCGATACTGGCCTAGGTCAATCTAGCCTTCCATCCTTCCTAGATTAATTGGGTGGTATCAGACTGGTCTGGAAGGATAACAGCATTGACTTGTATATAGACCCCCGACCACTAGTCATTTTATAGGCCACAAACCGCATTCAAACTTCACTTCTATTCTGAATGGAAGTCGAATGCTGGGCGCAATCCATAAAAGGGAGTGATTTTTAGTCAGAAGACTTTATTCATATCCATTATGCTGATACCATGTTAAGCATTACACCTCTGAAAAGGGTCACGTGGGATGAATTTTTGGCAGACCCTTACCGCTATGTTAAACCTAGTCCCATTGCCGACAGGCACTTGTCGCTTCCGAAAAGGAACCCATGAGAAATAATGGAGGACTTTTTGTTCCCTGAAAGGTCCGACCCACTAGGAAGTGCAGGTGTGCTGTGACACATTTCCATACTGTACCACCTCTGCCTAACTGGATAATGCTACTTATTAGAAAATATAGTCGGAGGGAGGGGCATTCCTCATCTCCAATACTAATAAGTTCTAGAGCGCAGACAAAGGGGTAGCCGAATTAGTCGCCCTATGCCTAAAGACTGCTCTTAGCCAGGGGGATTTAGTTTTTTATACGAGGCTCGGGAGAGAGGGAGCACTGTATGGATGAGATGATTACTTTGTCAAAAAGCTGGGGTGGGGTAAGGATTAAAGAAAAAAAAAGAAAGAAAAGCTAAAAAACTGAAAGATTCAGGAATCACTAACTTAATAGCTTCTTCTTGTCCACCACTTCCAGCAGCACAGGTATTCAACAAGTATTCCCATTCAGTATATCGAAAACAGTGACTAAGTATCCCAAATCAGCAGTACATCGAATAACTAGGTAAGGATAGGTTAAGAGCACCATCCCCGTGGTTAGTGTAATCGATGGCTCTCATCGATGATTGTCAGTACTGATACTACACTTGGTATTTACTGAACGCTTAAAATCACAATCACCTAATGTAATCAATCCCCTTTGCTAAGGAACATCTTGAATAAAGCGGTGTCTATTGTCTCGTCCCTTCGTGGTGGTTTTGGTTTAGACACTACATCTGTTAATAACTTACATTCGAATTCTGGCGCATATTCAAAACACTTCTAGGGCAACTATCATTTCTTCTACAAATTCGCGTCATTATAGTAGTGGTATAGTATCATAGCCTCCAATACTAAATTTTGCGGGAGGTAGAGAAGCGATAGGAGCTGCTCACACTGGTAGAATGACCCATCCGTGTAAGAATCTTTTTCATCGCTCTTATGTAATTTAATAAAACAGTATCGACTAGAATCGACTACTATCGACTATCGACTAATATGAGACCCTTAACCATAAGCCAAGGACGCATCCTGCTGTCCCAATGATTCTGACAAAAAATCAAGTACGTGGCGTATCCCAGCATGAGGTTGGTCAATGCCGAGCACTCCCATGATCCTGCAGAGATTTATCGTGCAAAACGCTTTCACGTACTGAATATCCTGGGTGTGGTGCGATTCACGCGCCAATGTCATGAGGTCATCGAGCAAAAAGCGCTAAATGATTATGCCTACCATCATAATGGAAGGAATAAGAACTTATAAGTAGAATAGGTGAAGAAATGACCAACTATGCACGTTTACAGAAAGATTGCGTTCTCTAGGATCAAAGAATTTGAAGTTATTCTTATTTTGATTGTTTGACAAGTAAATTGTCGGCTTATGAAGTGAATTCTTGTTCTCAAATGGGCTTCCTTGCAATAGTAAAGAGATTAGCTCTAATTCATGGTGAAGCCGTGGACTACTGCAAATTTATTTGGTCCATATCAACAGAAAGGTACTGATCGATGCTGCGTGCGCGAAGGGCTGTAATGGGGTCACGCGTGAATCGCGCGCCCCCCGAATATCCTAGGATGTAATTGTCTACTTGGTGAACGAATTCGTGAGATAAACCCTGGCCTGACCACAATTACCTTTCAACATACCGCCACTACTGCAGCTCCTTCTTGAATATTTACTTGTTTACCGCTAAATCTGAAGAAATTTCACCGCTGCTGCTCCTGCGTTATAAAAAAAAAGGATAGAGTAATCAGCAAGCAATTAGATATCAATTCAGAAGTGTGATGAGCTCGTATCATATCTGGGTCAACTGCAATGACTTCCACCATCGAGACCCCTTTAACAAAGATGATCCGAACATCGTAGGCTCGATTTGACCCTCGGACCACGCTGGTGGTAACGGCGCCACTTGCCACGTCCATACATTCGCCCCTAGGTATTGATTGGAGCCAGAATTAATGCAGGAATCATGGAATGTGCCATTATGTTGCCCCTTGACTTTTTTTTTCGTTGAAGCGACTCCTACCGTAGTCACGCAACTTTGCTACGATATTCATCAATGAGCCAATTGCGACGAGGTTGAACCATCCGTCGCAGCTTCATTTACTATGAGATTTTACTTTCACCGCAATTCCTTGTAGGCACTTCCACAGTATGCGAAACCACGCCCCCAGGAATGCTTCGTCTACTACCAACATGCACAATTGGAGCAAAAAAANAAAAAAACTCATGCAGCGTCCCAACCACTGGCGACTTCCACAGGCATTTCTACTTGGAATTTTTCAATAGGATACAAGCGAATCTTGATGTAACAGTGCTATTCTATTTTGTTGGCTAGAGGTCAAAGGAGGTGCACGTGTTAGAAAGCCCTCAAAGTAAGACTGTTCTAATCACCACTGGTGTAGCCGACTACATGAGCATGTATTTTTGTCTGAAGTGCATTCTTAACTACGGTTCTTAAGAATTTCTATAGAAAGCTGTGGACTTTAGCACACAATCAGCCTGGCCAGCCCCACACGATTTTGGTGAGCTATTCTACAACCGTGAGCAACTATATTGAGCACTGAATCTTTGCAGAGATCTCCGATTAACACTTCATGCAATCAGACCTTGATAAGGCAGCACCAGGTATATTCAACCCTGTCTTCTCATTACGTGTAACGGCTCATTCCAGCATGAAAAGCAATCAACAAACATTAATCACAGCTAACGTGAACATTTCGAAGCCTGATTGTCCTGAGTTACTCTTACCATCCAAAATCGCCAAACAGCGTTTTGTGTACATTTTTCATTAGCGATTTTGGATAAGTAAGAAAAAAACGGACGAGGTATAAGGAACCCAGCGCTTGAGCGAGCGCTGGTTTCCTTATTCCTCGTCCGTTTTTTTCTTATCAAAGACCCAGCACTTGAGCGAGTGATGTGATTATAAATTATTATTAGTTGAAAATATAATATTAAAGAAATAAAATCACTTTCACCTAATAACAAGTAATGCATTCAGTAATGCATTTTACAAACAATAGATTGAATGCTACAACACTTCCAATTCAATACGGCATAACAATACTCGACGCTAAGGTAGGCACGGATATCGTTATCAAGAAAGAGAAAGCAGATGTGTAGTTGGAACGTGAAAATGTACGACTGGAAAAAGAAAAACTTCATTAGAAACAAAAGTATGGATTACATTCACAGAGGAATGAAAAGATCTCTAGGCTATCTGCATTCAGTTCAGCACATATAACAGTTTCTGATTACAAACTTAAATGCTGAATTCTTAAAAATAAGCCCGAGCTCTGGATCTCAGTCTCATACAAAAAACACATCAAGTGAGCAGGGCCAAAATGACACGAGTATACAAAGAACATATGATACCTTTTTGCAAATTTTATCCCAGCAAAGACATCGAATATCTTACTTATGCACCTTAAACTGGACTTATGTCAATGGACATGCTGAGTGGGCGTAGACACTGAGATCAAGGCTTATCCCCCGCAAGAGAAGAACTTCCTGGAGAGGGGTCAATGAGGACGCAATGACCACAGTCCACGCTCGCTATAACCTTATGCATCGAAACTTACAGAATAGCCCGTAATTGCTCAACTAACGTTGGAATCAAGTAGTCCGATGATAGAATAGCCTAATTAGTCTGTTGCGAGCGGTCAGAAAAGTTTTAAAAAAGCACTAGCTGTTATAACATGATGTAACTTAGGATTTCATATGAGACCTATGAAAAGATTTTTACAAAAGAACCGCACTGATGGAGAATGTTTTTAATCTGATGACGCTATAGTACCAGCGGAACATACTAGAAAGAAGGCCTCGCTCCATTTCATGGAGTTAGCACGAAAGGCTAACTTCTCTAACTTCTAATGATCAAATTTTTGATTCACACGAAATTTCTGATACTCGGCAATTATAGGCTCTTCTGTGCATTAAGTGTGTCGGCTCTCCCCATATGGTGAAAACCATCATACAAATCTAGTTACCGCTAATACCATGTTTCTCATTGAAATAGCTTTCTTGCATTTCCAAACGTGCCAATCGCTCCTCGACCCAACGCATTCTACTCGCTTCTCTGCTGTTCAGATCTTCCAACCATTTTTTCCTTGCCAATAGTTCTTCCTTGGGTTCCGCGTTCAGAAGAGCAATGCAAGCTTTAGTCTTTGCTTTCTGAAAAGATCATAAACTGGTAATCTCTTTTGAACACATCAAAGTTAGTCAGTAAGCAAGGAGCCCCACAAGTCCCATAGGATTATAGAAAAGAATTCCAAATTAGCGATTACACCTGTAATCGCTTATACAATATATAGATTCGATAAGGAAAGGCCATTATAAAACATACTACATGTACTAAACAGAGCCAATAGACGTTCGTACAAGGGAAGGATCCCAAGTCGAAGTGGCCATTTGAAATGGGACCTACA